TACGAAGTGACTGGGGCACTGAAGACCCCAGTGCACTTGACGCCTCCGAGAAAACGGGCGACCGTTTCTGCAACGAGGTGAGTTTTATTTTTGTTTCTTTTTTCAGATTTCATTATTATTATTATTATTATTATTATTATTATTATTATTATTATTATTATTTAAGACTTGTTTTAGGTTTTCCTTAGATCAGATTCCTTCTAGATTCGTTGTATATTTTTAGATTGTTTTTGGGTTTTTTTTTAGTTCGTGATTTTCTGAATGCGCCCGTTCGTTTCGACGAACGGGCTGACTTTCTATACACAAAGAGGTGTAAAGTCGAATGTATCTACCTCTAGAACAAGGGAATATACCTACTACTACTACTGCATGAAAAAGAGAGTGAGGGAGAGGGATCTTACTTGGCGGGGGCCTGGATCCATGACGATGGAGAGTACAACGGCCAACAGGTAAGTCTTCAACCTCTTGACCGACCTTCTGGTATTACCATCTACATGATGAGCAAAATATAATGAATCTGTCACTAGGGCAGTAGGAAATACACCACCATATTTTTTTTTAGGTTCCCCTCTCCCTTCCTGCTCAATTCCACTTCACTGTAGCTGCGCCCGTTCGTTTTTGAACGGGCAGCGGCTACATGAAGTGGCGCCCGAACGTGGCACCTAGTTTAGACCAAGTTCGGGCGCACTAAGGGAAAAAAATACCCTGTTGAGGGTGACTCTAGTTCGACTCTGAGAAATGACTAAGAAAGGAAGGGGCGGCCGTACGTTTTGAATGGTGAGTTGCCCCTGCACAGGGAAACGAGGGGGGTGGGTAAAAAAAAAAAAAAAAAAAAAAAAAAAAAAAAAAAAAAAAAAAAAAAAAAAAAAAAAAAAAAGTAACGGTCACGTACGTGGCTGCAGCCACGGAACATGTGAAGCCCCAGAAGAATCTAGAGGGTGATGGGACTGCGCCTGTTCGTTTTGAGTAGGAGCAGTAAGTGGTTGAATATAGCCATTTCCATGAGCACCTGACCTGGGAAAACGGCCAAGTACTCCTGGGGGTTGATGACCTTGGTCCCCTAGGGGAAAACCAAGGCATCGGACTTCTGGCCGTTGATCTAGATCGAGGGTCAGGAGCATCGACGAATTTTTGCCTGGTTGTAAGCAAAGCAGTTGCCCACATGTCTTCGACTGGCTATAAAAGTCAGCTCCCCACCCATCAGTCTCACACTTGTAGCAGTGTTGCTGGGCCATTCACTTGAGTGAATGTCGGTTGGCTGCTATTGTGGGGCGGTGCTGCTGGTGAAGGAAGTGGAGGTCTGCAGGATAAGGGGAAACGCTGTTGGAGGAGGAGAAGAGAGTCAGTCATAGCCAAGGGTTGGAGGCTCTCTGCCCCACCATTCGTGCTGGTGCGGAGGCCGTAGGGTTGCGTCAGGTTTAGACGATGCGGCAAGCGGCACCTATTTCAGTAGGGTTGTGTTGCTGGACTGCCGCCGCGGCGTCAAGACCTTCCTGAGGAAATGTGTTGCGGGATGTGTCGCTCGACGCGGATGTTTTTTTAATGTGACTGAGGGAAGGTGCTCTCAGAGGTTATGCTGCCGACATCTTGGCTCGACGACAATTTTTTTGAAGGGGAAGTGCTGTCATGTTTTTTGGCATGGCGGCAGCAACACTTGCAGTGGAAGTGTTACCTTTTTTTCGGCATGCCGCAACGACATTTCGGTGGGGACGTGCTGCCGGACTAACGGTGCGGCGAGTTTTGGTCCTCCGTTGTTTTTTTTCTGGTGCGCAGTGCCTATGGTAGACTCCAATGTGGCCTGAAAAATGGACTGGCAGTGGTGTGTGAGCATGTGGCGGTGCTATTAGACGACCGTGGTACCCGTTTTAACGACAACGACAAACATTAATTCCGCTGTTAAATTTTTGAGGTGTGCAACGTTTTCAGCATGGTGTAAAGATTGGGCTAGTGTTGATCCACGGTTAGGATAAGGTGACAGTGGTGCATGGGCCGACAATATGAAGAGGTCGCGGAGTGAGTGCACGTGGCACTGACTATTGGAGTTGCAGCGCTTGCGGTTTGTGCCGGAATGACATCTTTACTTTTTTTGGGGCTCGCAGCACATGCGGTTTGGACCAGGGTCACCTTTATTATTTTTTTTACGGTGTACGGTGCGAGAGGTATTGGTGTTTAAGGTCATCTGGTGCTGCAGCGGTAACCCGGGATCAAGTGAGACCAAGTTGAGGGTCAAAATTTTGAGCATGTGTGACCTGTGTTTCGCACATTTGACAACTATCTGATGCGGTCGTGATGATTTGCGGCGGTGTGGACTTGCGATTGGTTGGGGAGACAGATTTTTGTGAGTGCAGTTGAGATGGGTCTAAGCTGGGATCAGTTTGGGACATTGGGACGATGAAAAAACTCACTTGTGGGAACACCCTTCTGGAGGGTTATCTCGTTTGAGTTTTTTTATGGCTGAACCTCTACTCATTTGGACACTTGGTGGAGGACGCTGACTGTGGCTAAGGACAAAGGCCACAACTTGTGAAATTGTGGGATGTATATTTTGGACTTCAAAAGCGGATATGTTTTATTTGATTGACATGTTACTCGGCTTTCTTGAGCGAGCCGATTCAAACTTCACGCAAGGTCAGTAGAATGACTCAAATTTCTCTTCACACCTGTATGAACCCACACTTTGGTTGACCCTGTTCAATCGAATGTTCATTGAAAAGGTAAACGAATTGTGTGTTTGCATGTGAATGGTGAGGTCTGAGTTGAGTATGGGATTGCACTGGTTTTCTCTTGAATTTGTTGTCTTTACATGTTGTGCAGGTATGTAGAAGGATGCTTGCAAATGAGTTGATTTATGCCTTTTTGGGAAAGATGAAAAAATTGTCTTCTTTCTACCTTTTACCTGTCTGTTTGTCGAAAAAACTTGTTGTTTTGAAAAATATTATTCAGCGTGTGTTGTAGAATGAATACGATTGAAATAAAGCAGATGAGGTCAAATGAACTTAGTATTTTCCCAGGATTGACCCTTCCTATCCCGAACGACCTTATCTACTTGTACGTGTCCAAATGATTCTTATTTTTTATCTCCTTCGGATTTTTTTTCGTCAAAGTTACCCTAAACTTAGGAGAACTGAGAATATATGAAAGCTACTCGTAGTGGACACATTATTTTCTTTAGGAAACATATGGGACGGGGGTTTGTTGCTTCAGGAGCCGACCCTGTTATCGACTCAGAGTGAGTTACTTTTACGGGGGGTGCACTTTGCCGATTCGATGGAAACGACCCGACTTCTGAGATTCGAGTTTTATGTTCGGGTGAGGAGGAGGAGTACCCCATACCACTTCCTGGAGGGAGAGACATGCAACACTTCAAGCAATGCCCCTGATCAAGAATCATTCGCAAAGTAGTCTGTCATCTAAGAAGGTTGAGAAAGTATGGAGACAAGTGTGAGCGTGTATAATCTTAGGTTGATAGTAGGATGAAATGAACGACTTTGACAGTGCGTCTCATCAAGTCAAAACTGAGGCGGTTTGAGTACCTTGTCGGCTGCATCAATGTTATTATCGGTAGCCAACTCTCTGTTGGCGATTGATTGATTGTTTTGTGGTGTTTGACCTGAAATGGTCGGATTGTGTTTCGATATCGTGTTACCTGATATACTGCATGATGATTTAATTTTTTTTAGTTATCATTTCATAGCGGATATATTTCTGCCGACTACGGTCAATTTTCTCTGAATATAATTATATATGGATGTTTAAAATATCTTTTGACTATGTGTCTAAGGGGCTAGGATGAATTGTGGTTTCACGCTTGGTTGAGACCGTCCTAGTCGACCGACGTTTGCTCTATACCCAGGAGATCAACGCCCTAGGAACGGACGACGTTCGGGCTCGCTTGGCGTTAACCAAGCGTATTTATACTACGGTGAACGAGCAAACGCCCTCGGCTGACCTACCTCTGCAATTGCATCTAAAAACTTTTGCACGTGGGTCAGTACTGGGTAGGGATACGCCCCTAAGGGTGATGACATCCCCTTAGAGAGGGAAAACGTGTGCCCCACGAGAACCTATCCTGTCGTAGGGGACCGTGAGATGTACAGCTGGCGCACCCGGCCAGAGTGGCGAAGGGACGACGCAACCACGGCCGCCTCAGCGGTTCGCGGGATTATTTTACGTCGTTCTAGAGTTGTCTCTCTGATGTTGTTTTTTGTTAAACTCCTGCGTGATATGGTCGGGAGGGCTCTCACCTTTGCGGAAAAGGCGGGAGCCTATACCCTCGACAACGCACTATTGACGGGCTGTGAACAAATAGGTTCTCTTATTGTAGATGAAACTCTCGTGACAAGGTACCATTACCATCTCTCACCTTGAATTGGAATGTTTTCTAGTGCACCAGGCACTTGTATAAATTCAATCATACTTGGTTAAAACTATCACCTCCGGAACGTGATGAGGGAAAATGTAGTGGGAACTGTAGTGGTGTCTAAGGAGGCCCTTAGACACCAGTAGGGCTGCGTTCCCCACGTCAAACGCGTTATAACAGTCAAACCATGCAATACTCGCCGAACTCGGCGAATAGCGACTGAATGACAAAGCGCCAAGGCAGGACCAAAGCCCCAAGGCAGAACCGATGACCGGTGGCACGCAGGTGGCCTGACTATCAAGTGAGCCCTCGGCTATGCGTCCGTGGGGATGGCAACGGTCCAAACAAACGGCGTGCAACTTGAGTAGGATAGGAGAGGGAAAGCGAGGTGGTATAGCATAGCGGTCGTTTGAGCAAGTCCAGGTCGGCGCAGGTGGATCGCTGGTCGTTGTTGTGCGGCGGTGGCCGGTTCGAGGGCGCGCGGCCTTCACGCCCGCCCGTACGGCGTTTTGCTCGAGAACGGAGGTGACAACAGGGGACTCATTACGGGTACCGCCGATCTTCGGTGCCGCCTGTATCCAGGGTCCTCGGTGCAGCCTCTGGCTAGGTAGGTAGGGGTTCGTTGTCGCACGGCGCCGCGGTGTGGTTTGAGTTGAAAATTTTTGGAATTTTTTGGAAAGGAAAGAACGAGAACGCGAGCGCAGGGATTGGCGGGAGGGAGGGGCTTCTCTATGAACGGAAAGGGTGGGTTGGTGCGGAGGGGGCGCGAGTGAGTGTGTGTGTGTGTTTGTGTGTGTGTGTGTGAGAGAGAGAGAGAGAGAGAGGAGTCAGCCTACGCTGGACGTGGAATCAGGCGGGAAAACGCTGCACGGGACTCAGCGGGAAGAAATCCAATCAATCAATCGATCGAGGGATCAATCAACGGCGGGAAGACGCGTGGGAGAGGGAACGGCGAGGGGGTGGTAATTGAGGGAAAAAGAAGGAAGGAGGAGGAAGCGAGTGAAGTAAGGAGTAAGGAAGAGGGGGGAGGGGTAGGAGAAACGACGTGTTCTTGTTTTGGACTAGATTCATACCCTCATTTGCGTTAATTAGATTGATTTGCGTTAATTAGCTTGATTTGCGTTAATTAGCTTGATTGGGTTGTGGCCATGGCGGCCGCCGGCGTCGTCGCTGGAGGTCGTGCTCGCGGCGCCCGCGATGGCGATTTGGATGACGATGAGCACATCGTCTTTGAGACAAGTGCTGGAGTTGAACCTATTACAAGCTTCGACGCGATGGGAATCAGAGAGGATCTGCTGAGGGGTATCTATGCGTATGGATTTGAGAAGCCATCTGCAATACAGCAGCGCGCCATCAGACCCATAGTGGACGGTCGAGATGTCATCGCTCAAGCGCAGTCGGGGACAGGCAAAACCTCGATGATCGCGTTGGCTGTCTGCCAAACCCTGGACACCGCAACGAGAGAGTGAGTGAAATAACCACCCACTTCTCCCACTTCTCTCACTTCTTCCAATTCTCTCACTCCTGCCACTACTTCTCCGACCTCTCACACTTGTCCCACGTGTCCAACACTTGTCCCACTTCTCTCTCACACATGCCGCACTTCTTTTTGCCTTTTTCGTTCTTCATGTTGCCCTTGTTTTCTTGCTCTTCGTCTTCTTTTCTTCTTTCTTGCGCTCGGGTTTGCCTTTCTTCTCTCTTTCTACTCTTTTCAGGATCGCCCCCTTCCTCTCCCTCTTCTTCTGTTCTTTCTTCGTTCTCTTTCTTTTCCCTTTCGTTCTCTTATCTTTTCCCTTTTCGTTCTCTATCTTTTCCCTTTCGCCTTGTCTCGTGGCCTCCATCCTTCTCTTTCTCCCTTTCTCTGTTGCTTCTCTCTCTCTCTCTCTCTCTCTCTCTTCAGCGCTTCCCCTCCCTCTCCCCCGCCCCACCAACCCGCCTCCTTTTTCGTTAAGCAACAGATTTAGTCAGTTACAGCCGCGTGCGTGTTGTAGCCCGAGCGGTCAGAGTATATCAGAAGAAGAGGGCAAGCTCAGCACGGACCTCTCTGCTCGCTCAGGGTCCAAGTCCAACTTACCCCAATTCTCAATTTCTGACCGTAGATTTCGAAGATCAACGAACAGAAAAATGAAGAATTTCGGCAAGTGGGACTTGGGGGCCCAGGTGGTACATCGACAGGTGGGGGGGGGGGAAAGCGGTGGGCCCGTTGATAGTAAGTCCCGAGCGGAGCGGAGTGCAGCCAGGCGAAAGGCACCCGGGGGAATGTGCGTGTTTCTTGAGTATCTAGACTAAAAATTGCACCAAATACACAAGCTATAATGACGGGGGGGGGCTTTATTCGTATGTAATTATAGACTTTACGTTCTAAGGTTTGCGCAGCTACCCGGTCTTCACACGAATAAAGCCCCCCCCCGGTCATTATAGCTTTGTGTATTTGGTGCAATTTTTAGTCTAGATACGGCGATAATGACCTGGCGTTCTATTCCGGTGAAGACGGGTAGCGTGTGGCTTGTCGCTATTTCCTCTTCTCCGCACACTGTCCCTCCTTCCCGTCTCCTTGTTCCCTCTCGGCTTTCGTGTTTTTTTTTGTTTGACCTGTTATTACCGTCTTCCCCCGAACATAACGCACCCTGATCCTGAATGTACACTAGCTATTTTTCCTGTCAGATGCACTCATGACGAGAGAGCTTGTGTTCCGGCGTAGGATGGTAGGTGACCCCCTTGTTTCTTACCCTCCGCAGCTCGTCTGCGCCGCCGCTTTTTCTGTACTTCGTTGTTTATTATATATGTGTATAACTAAAACACAACTCTCTGTGTCTATCTTTCTCTGTCTCCCACCTCTATAGTTTGTACGTATATATATCAAGGATATTGTTACTTTAACAATCTGCCATTCTGGAAACGACTCTGCTGTTCCTACTTCAAAGAGAAAACACCTTGGCAAATATGGTGGGCGTGCGCGTGTCTATGCGTGCATGCGCGTGGTTGGTTATGTCTTTTGTGCTTGTGTGTATGTTTCTGTGCTCTTGTGTGCGTGTGTATGTGGTGGTTGGGGGGGGGGGGCGTGTGCTTCTCTCCTCTTTCAACTTGTCCCCTCAGTCTCTCAACTTGTCTCCCCTCTTCCCCCCCTCTCTTCCCCCCCTTCTTCCCCCCCGCCCTCCTTTCCTGCCTCTCTCCCTCCGCACACCCTTCTGTGTGTGTCGAAGTTTGGGAGAGCGGTGACTTGGGGGGCAGGCGGGGCAGGCGGCCTGCTTGTTGCCCCTTTCTGGGGGTTAAATCTCTCTCTCTCCCATTTTACCCGGACAGACTACCGTCTTCACCCAAATAGAACGCCCGGTCATTATCGCTGTATCTAGACCGTAAGTTGCACCAAATTCAGCTATAATTCCCGGGCGTTCTATTCGGGTGAAGACGGTACCGCAGGCGCCGCCGCCTACCTTTTATAGTCGTAGCCTGTGTAGCCTGCCTGCCACAGAGTACCTTCTTTTTTTTTCTTCTTTTTTCCGCCTTTCGCACCAATTCACACTGTTTATTTATTTATTTCCTCTTTAAAATATTTTCTTGACGCAGTGGGCGTTTAAATTTCTGTATGTGCAATTTGGATTTCAGGGATCAGGACCGTTATACCGCGAATGAATGCCAATTTCCTTTTTTTTTGGTGGCATACGCAATGGAATTTTGTGAAATTAACCTTGTTGAGGAGCGCGTTGCCTGCTCATGCCCTTCTTCCTCGCCCCCCCCCCCCCCC